TGGCGTTGTGGTGCGAGTTTTCGGGTGGAGGATTTAATAATATTGCATTTTCGCACGACCTGACTTCTGCACCAGGATTCGACCGACACTGGTCATTGCGAGATCCCAGTAGACGCAGTCCTGGTGGCAAGTAATTTAATTTTGCGTGGAGGAAATGTTGATAGCGGCACCTAATTTCAGTTGGTGAATCATGGCATTTTATCATTCCATTTCCATTATGTCTGGGGACGAAGAAACACTTGTGGCATTTCTGAAAGTTGGGGAGACTAAAAGCAGGGAGATTCTTACATGCAGTTTCTTACTAAGGCATTTCATGTCATCCAGAGGGTTTAGCCTGCCTACTGACTCACCGGCGATGGCTGCTGCCCGGCAGCTGTTGTACCTCTTCTTGTAGAGTTTGTCCGTGATTGGCTTCTCGCAACTGCCGCCTCCATTGTAGTGAATCATGACGTAATCATCACAGTTTGTGACGCCATCACCGTTGCAATCCTGAACAGAGAGACACGATGTTGCATTACTCCATTTCCGTGACGTCACCTGGTTGTACTCGAAACTGATCAATGTGACCTGTGACTCACTGAAGTCCTGTGTTTCGCAGCCCCCCAGTTTTTTTTAATCCGCTGCACACCCCGATTTGTCAAAGACTTATGACGTCACAACACAAAATTTCGTCTCACGAAAGAAAACGTGGCTATGAATAATCAAACAAATCCTTCCTCTATTAAGTGTGCAGGCAGGCATATGAAAACAAAACATAATAACACATGCTGAATAAAAGTATCAATGGTGAACTAGTGTGTGTTTATATTACAATTATCATTACTCTAGATAAGATAGTTCTCTTGCATAACGAAGACGTGCGAAGATACAGTTTATTACATAAATCCGTGGCACGTTAGTTGCGGAACTCTGCACTGAACCTCACTACTCTATTTCACTTCACTTGGTTGTAACAAAAGACTCGCTATTTGGCGTGTTACTCACCCGGCCGTACTTCTCCATGTAGCCCGTCACAGTGTTGGTTGCGCAGTCGTAGTCCTGCACGCAGGTCTCGTACGCTACAACATACAACCAAGTGCCAGGTTACCAGAACACTTCCAAGCAAGAGTTGGAAGGAAAAGGTGTCCCGTACGTCAAGCTGGAGTTGGAAGGAAAAGGTGTCCCGTACGTTACTGTATCGATGGTACCTCCACTCAGGTGCACTGCGTTTCCCCAGAAGAGGCTGCAGGATATGAGATCTGACGAACACTTCCATGAGTAAAGTGACATTATAATTGTAGTTCACGTGTGTCTGAGACTGTTTCACCTGGTGTCACTTGCGAATAAGTAATGCAGCTGAGTCGATTTTAGAAGTCTCTAATCTGTCTACAAGAGGTCCTGGTTGCAGACACTCCGCAACACCGTGCTGGTCAGTCGGAAAACCTGAGTTTACCCTTGGCATGGGCGTGGGGGTCGTGGATACTTGCAGGAAGCACGTATTTCTTGTGGTAACGGGCATAGAATGAGTTTCGGACTGGAAAACTAACGTCATCGACCTCCTCTGCGTGGTCTCGGAAACTGATACGGTGTCATACGTACCTTCTTTTGGGTTTGGATGGTCGTCGGGCAGGACGTGTCGGCCCGCGTCTGCCCAGTAGATATGCGAGATTGAGAAAGGGCCGCAGTAGCCCATGGAACAGGCTCGATTAGTGGAGCACTCGTTGGCAGCGTGGCACAAACAGCGGAAACAAGCCGCGTGGAGATTCGTCACGAACACTGCAAGAACAAGAAAACAGGATGCGTGGAGATTCGTCACGAACACTGCAAGAACAAGAAAACAGGGTGCGTGGAGATTCGTCACGAACGTTAAGAACAAGAAAACAGGATGCGTGGAGATTCGTCACGAACGTTAAGAACAGTTTGGAACACGCCATGTGGAGATCCGGCGGAACTCACCAACAGCGGGAAGATGCAGTTTGGAGATTCGACACGAATCTACATACAACTATAAGGATCGGGTTATATGGAGATTATTCACGAAAGCTACACAAATAAGGAAATCACGGTGTGGAGATTTGATACATTACAGCATCAAAAGCAGGCCGCTTGGAGACTCTTCTCTTGTAATGCAACTGTGATAAACAGGTTATGTGTAAGTTGTCACATCCGGTCTGAAATCTCGACATGTCATGGGGAATTATGTCCACTGAATGTAAATACATCTTCTTGTTGCCCAATTAATTTCGCTATTTTTACATTCTCCGCAATCGAGTGACAATAAACGAATGGCGCCTGACGGAGAATCGACGGACTACAGAGTTCACACTATCGGAAGCGAACGTAAATCCAGACGCATCGAAAGGCAGCGTCAACGTAAAGCCAGGTCCACACCTGCGCCTTTTGCCGTAATAGAACAGCGCTGCACAAGGCTTTCCGAGGTTCAGGTGTGGACGAGACGACACGCATTCTGCCGAATGCCTAAAACGTGCTCCGCTGGTTTAACTCAACAGCCAATGACGTTCGCTGCAATTGACGCATGAGTAACGCCTTATGTCAGTGCTTTCCAAACCTTTGTAAATTACCCAAAAATGGGTAAAAGTGGTTTTTCTTTGGGTAACGACACACCTCGGAATACACATTACACCTACGTGTGTTAAGTAGGATTTTCCACTCTTGCCTTCATAAAGAGCACGAAATGAAACTGTTTGTTGAACCCCGAATACGATGTGAGGTCTGCTCTGTCTCCAATTGATCCAAATTTTGCGGAACTATAAATGAGATGGAGCAGTAGAATTATACTCATCAGCTGGGACCTGCGTGATGAAATATTCATGGTGAATAATTACCTATTTTTTTCTGGCTGCTAAAATGTTTAAGGATATTTAAAATAAAGACATTGCATCAAAAACATTGTTTGTTTCCTATTTTTCATCGATCTCTCTTCACTTGTCATATATGTTTTCTACGCAGTTAGTGTTTTACCTACGATGGGTAAAAAGGACTTTCTGATAAGCGGTTTTGAGTATTGAAGAAAAAGGTTTGGGAAGCGATGCCTTATGTGATCGTACTGTACGTAGGATCTGTAATCGTCTGACGTAGTAGGCAGACGGGATTTCCCCTACTTCCGTTTGGTAGTTTGGGAAGCAGTGCCTTATGTGATCGTACTGTACGTAGGATCTGTAATCGTCTGACGTAGCAGGCAGACGGGATTTTCCCCTACTTCCGTTTGGTGGTTCCAAAAACGGCCGTATGGTGCGCTACATCATGAATTGGAAAGCCGGATTACATACACGCGAGAATGTGGAGTCTTCAAGTGAATTTTTTCGTCATTGGCCATTGCTACCAAGCGTCCGGATAATTTATATTGGCGGACTCCCTCTTTATTTTGTCGTATACCGAGATCACGTTGATCCTACATCCAGCCCATAACATTGTTACAATTGTGATGTGCCCCATTTTATCATGCGAGGCTAGGAGCACCGTGTCCTGACAGGAAAAATTGTGAGGCTACATATAAAGGACAGAAAATGCCAGTGCAGGTTTCAGTAGATAAGTCAATTTCTCAAGCTAACTTCTGAATAATTCGTCGTTCAGACATTTGCAAATCTACAGTTTACTCGGCTAACAAAAGAGGCCTTGCGGTAAAACTGGTTTTAGGGGCAGGATGCACTTCCAGAGAGACAGGTTCGCAATTCACGGCTTGCGAACATTTTGTATGCTGAAAAATAGTGGCTTCACGGGCACACCCACGTCTTGTTTTTGTTGCCAGTACGTACTGTCCACAGATCACGAGAAAAACCCTGCTGGTGGAAGTCGTTTCTGGTCGGTGCGGGGGGAATGTTACTTATCAGCTGGACTAGAGGGCTGCTATTGGTGGGAAGTGTGATACGTCAGTCGTCACTCACCGCGAAATCTTGCGCATGCGCGTATATCGAATTCCTAGCAAGGATTTTCTCCTGGTCTGCGGACTGTACGTGCCTTTCGGAGTGAGCATTTGTTCATCTGAATGAAGAACGCCAGTCAAGGACAAGGGCGCTCCTTACTAAATGGACGCATGCAAATTGCAGCAACACAAATTAAACCGGATATTTTAAAAATTTCCCAGTCTATAGTAATGTCAGAAAACCAACTAATAACCGATTTTACTAGAGACAATGAAGTAATATTTTAATCTTTTAGCATGCATTTTAAATCATTGTCTTAGTTTGTCATCTTGTGGCCCACGAGTCGATTACAAAGGATGAATGTGATTTGATGTGTGGAAAACGCTTAGAAACCCCTTGTTCAGGGAATTCCGCCCAATCAACAGCAGAAGCAATTTTTCTTTATCAAAGGAAGATAAGTTGAATAAAAGGCGAAACAGACTGAAAGCAAAATATCTTGGTTGAGAAAATTGTGTTGCTGTTCTCATTGTAAATTAAAAATCTGTTTCCTGTGGGATCTTCAACATCAACACCAACGTCTCAAAGTTGCAATGTTCTTGTTCACAATTTTTCTCGCTGTTATATCACCGCGTTGTAACCATTACATCATGCTTGAGGTAGTACCTGATGGCAATATGACCACCGCATGGGGAGTGCAGATAATATTCCTGCTCATTCCACGTTAGCTTACTCACAGCGGTAGAAGCGTTTCAGATGCTGAAGAGGTAATTCCAGATGACGAGGTAATTGCGATTGTAGTAAGCCAGCAACCATTATTATCCGGTTCTGACGAAATTCCACTACGCAATTCCAGTCTATAGTAATGCCAGATGACAAGTACATCATTGCAGTTCACCAACCACAATCATCTGGTTTTATTGGTGGAAATACCGCGATCTGCACTCCTC